CTGAGGATATTAGTCACTATTTCTGAGGTCCCAATGTGATTTTCTGGGTTGTGAGGATTGTTGCCACGATATTCACCATCTACCCAGTAAACAGTGCATCCCGCTGTCATGGAATTATACGTGGACTATAAAGATCCTCCAAAATATTCTTATACTTCCCCAGAATTCGATCGGTAGAAATGAAGTACGGAAACAGAAGTCTCGCACTAGTGTCTCTGTAAGACAGACTCCCCGTTTCTCTACAGCTGTTTCGGATTTGACTTTCTTCGGTTTTGAATAGAGGGGGAACGTTTTCGCACATCGTATTTCAAGAGATGATATCGACAGCATATGTACTCATCGGTAATAACAAAATCTATCTCATCACATCTCGCCCAATCTTTCATGCTAGCTGAACACCAAATCCCAGCCAGCCAGACATGCAGGAAACCTCCAGATCTGACAAAACTATTTTCATTAAACTCACGACGAAACGCATAATTTAGTAGCAAGACAGTTCTACGAAGACTGCTTTGTTGATTTATAGTCTATGTTTCCAAATTCTGCCTAGAGTTGAGTAGAAGAGATATGGACAGGTATTTATGTTGATAGATGGATTGATATTTTAGTTGAGTTCGAAGGGCTTATGATTCGCCGAATAGCCTAGCCTTAGATTTACCGAATGTCCTGACTTGTTATTGAGGGGAAAGGGGTGTGGATAAGCGATATTGTAGATAGATATCAATCAGTAAATCAAAGTGAACGAGTGAATTACAGACTCCACAGAATCTAGACTTGAAAATCATACCACTACCCTCTATTTAAGAGGTATTTCGATCCAGATAATCGACTCCAATTCATTTGGCTACTATTGAGAAGGCGGTCCATGTGTCAGCACCGAGCTCTGTTCCTTCAGAAACTCGGGAGATCCTCTTCACAAAATTTGTACATAATCATGAAAGGTATGATATAGATTCCCGCCACGATTTTCGTTTCGTCTTACGCTAATCAAAACACTTGTGAAAGATCTCAATGACAATAAACTTATCGTCGAGAGTTAACATAAATGAGAGTATTATACTAACGAGAACCAACCACCGTCGGATCTGAAGATCACAAGTATAAAAATCCATACTCGATTTCTACCATTACAGCTAACTCTTGTCAATTTTCTATTTTCGAGTAAATTTTCACGTCTCTGCACACGCACGAAAATCGTTGAGTTTACAGACATGGGAGGCCATTTTCTTCTTTGAATGAAAAAATAGCATCGACTCCATTCAATATAACCCTGTGGTGGCAAAGTTAATATTCCGGACGAAGATAAATTCAATATAAATCCCCATACAAATTTCTATTTCGTACATTACGATATTGATATATATATTCGTCAGTGACGAATAGAGCTCTTCGTCACTGACGAATCAAATCGGTTCTTTTTGCGACCCGTTTATTATTGAATTTTGATTAAAAAAAGAAAATGAGGACCTTGAAAGGCCTTAGAGCTTTCAAGATTTTCGAATATTAGGGTTGAGGGGAAGGTGGACGGAAAGGTATGTGCGTAGGAGGTCAAAGAGGTAAATAAGAGCTAAAGGGGAGAAGGGGAATGAGCGTAGGAGCTAAGGGATGGGCGGGACGCATTAGCCGAAAGTTTAAAGGGGAGTACAGTCCTTTTGGTAAGTTACATCACATGAGGGAAACCTACAAGAGAGCTTTCAAGTGAAATCACAAGCTATACCACTATGCTATGCAATACAGAATGTATCATATAAACAAGAATATGACCTGATTTCAATCTATATATGAATAAATTTCAAATCAATAAATAGAAGTATAACAGAAAGATTAGTAATCCTTAATAGATTCTATTCGAAACACCTAAAAGAACTTTTCTATTCTTTTATTGAAATCTAACAGGAGATCAATTTAGAAGGAAAAGAAGAGGAAGAGAGGGGGGGGGGGTTGAAAAGCAAGTAAAACCTAGAAGCTTTCTACTTGACAGATAATTGTTGCCTCAGGCCGAAACTTTCAATTAACCTTCCAGAATTCAAGAAATTCACTAAGAACTTATTGATTAGAATAAGCTTCGTAAAGTATGGAGACTTAGATTGATCATATTAATACTTTAAAAACGATTTATTCAATACATAATGAAGGTATTGTAGAATTTATGGCAATTACGAAAGGATCACTTCGTCAACCACGGATTCTGCCACCACAGGGTAACCCCATCAAGCCTCGTATGGATTGTGTATTCTACCTGTAGGAATAGCTACCCATATCTATACCAGCGAATCCACGTGAATTAAACACTGTATCATTGCTAATCTACTAACTTTCGCAGTCTGTGATCTCTTATAAGTAGCCTACCAAAAAGACTTTTTAATAGCTGCTAGTATTCCTCCCATAACAAAATATTGGACAATATGTTTCTAGAAGGAACTTCTCAGTTCTAATAATACGGTCATTCTTGGTATTGAAACACTGGCTGAGATTTATTGACTTATCTCACGGACTTTGATTTGAGCCTGGTTTGTTTTAATGAAGGAGAATTGATATTCATAGTACCAGTGACAGCGACAACATGTATGGTAGCTAATGAAAAGCAAGCATTCGACGAAAGTAAACCCAAATCAATAACACAGAAAACATACTCTCACTTTCCTTTGACCTAAGTCTAGATTATCTTTCTATCCATTTACCGATAACTCGCAACATTGAATGCTTCCATAAATCTCAATCACCTTGCATGAAAAGACAATCAAAAGCAACAATTCTCGCACCTTTTATATCAACGTCCATCCCAATCCTAATCTCCATCCCACTTTCAGGAAAACAAGCTACCCCTCCACTCCTCTCCCCTTCCATATGTTATCACATAACCTCCCCATCCAACCCAATACCACTCACCAACACAACCACAAAACCACTCCCCATCTCCTTTTACACAATCCGACCCCCATCCCCCCCACACACACTATACCTCCACCATTTTCTCAATCAAACCCAAATCTACACTTACAACTACTATCTCTCAAAAATATCACATATAGTTCATTATTCCACAAGTATAGCTTTTCCTACTCTTTCCACTCTACTCTCGTAACCATGTAGTAAATCGAACTTTGGCATTCTTGTTTCATGTATCAACAGATAAACAGAAGTAATATATCCGAACTTGCCATTCCATTCGTGCGTTCATTTCCTATAGAATTCGCTAATACACTGTACTCATTTCAAGTTCATTGGAAGAATCTGATAATGAATGAACAGTGAGTGATACATACATACTTAATCACCACCCTAAACCTCTTCATCCGAGTGCAAAAGTATATGTATGTCTAAACAAGGTTCGAATATCAATGTAGAGGACAATTTCTTTTTAGGAGGGAAGATATCTAATCTAATCTAATCGATCAAGATATTTATATTTCACCAATGACAGAAGAGTAAAAAGACGATTATAAGGCTGATGAACATCCTCCCTCCTCAAAATATACTTTTCTTTCACACTTCCACACGCTCAAACTTCCACCCCCTCTCCCTTCTCCCCTCCCCAAAAACCTCAAAGAATCCTACAAGCAGCAAAATCCAATACCAAAAACCCCTATCCTCTATCAAAAAGGACTAGGTGATGACTAGATAGCTTGCAGTATATCTGCCTCCTATACCTACTATGTAGTGGGAGATATGACTTAGATAGAGATTTATGGTTTAGAGGGTGGAATTCGAGTTGTTTTGTTTGGGGGTGATGTTTGGGTTGGTAATTTTTGGATTGATCGATTATTTCTGGGTTGATGATTTGATGTGTTTGGGAGGTATGTGGGAGGTGGGAAGTGATAGTGATAGTGGTGATGATGAGAGTGATGATGACGATAGTAATTGTAATGATAGTAATGGTGATAATGATAACAAAGCATACCACTCACCATCATGTCTCCGAGAATACAATCTCACATCTCATCCCACCATAACATATCATCTCATCCCATCCTAAGCCTCTCCCCTCAAGCTACCTAGCTAGCTATGCCCCAGAAACAACCATCCCATCCTCACCAAACTCCCTAGATACCTCTACAATACACAGAGCCCCTTGAATACTATTGCATTTCTTCGTACATCACTGAACAATTCGAGAATATCGGAGGATTGTTGATCTACATACTACAAACCACCAACCATGAATCAGGTTTTTAGTTTGATTTGACTTTGATTTGAGCCCCTCCTCTTTATCTGAATATTTGGTGAATTAGATCTCTTTTCAACTAGTCATTTAGTGAACCAGACTATGGAATCTTGTTTAAAAGCAGGGAGTCGGGATACTAGCGGATTTTTTGTGAAGAGGAGGGGAGAGAGGGGGTACATATAGCTTGTCCATGCCAAACCTAAATAGATCTAAATATTGAAAATACCCCAAGATCCGAATCGAAGATGGATAATCACCCACAGCCAGGTTTAGAGACGTCGAATTGGACGGAATTTATCTTGCCCACTTGAGTAATATTGGTATTGATGTATGACGGTAATCGATATTATTATTTATCGTCTCAAGATTTCTTGACTTTTTTATTATTGTCGAAATTTAATGAGAGTGGTAGATACATGCTGTCAAACTAATCAGCTTTACTGTCATCTTAACTTTGCTATTTCATGTAATCAATTATAGGATATAAAAGAGGATAGAGTACTCATGAGATATTAGATAGATATATATCGATTAACAATGATATCGTAACCTGAAGTAATCATTTGGAGCGATCTCAAAACGATCTTATACTATCGAAGTAAATCATAGCTTATAGAATGCGAACTTTCGCACAACGTGCGGATTATATAGCACCTCGAGACTCAGAATGGAGAAAAACTAGTGCACTTCCTGAGACTTCTCTGGAGAGGGATTTCTAGTTTATTCACTTGAACACTAACACAGTGTCGGTTCAATGGTTCACCAAATAATCTCTACCCACCAAACACAGAAAATCTCATACCAACCTTCCGTCAATCCACCAAATACCCAATCATCAAAACTCAACCCCTCCAAGACCCCTCGCACTCGGTAAACATTCTTCCAAGAACCCCCTCATCGCCACCAACGGAACACCATGTCTCATCGCCGTATTCTCATCCCACGAAGAATGCAATCCAATCAACAAACCATCATCAGCTCTTACCAACGGCGCTCCCGAATGACCCCAGTAAGTCCACGCATCATGTTTCAGGCTTCCAATCTCCGAATTCTCATGCGGATCCTGTCCCTGTATCATTCCACAAAAAGATCCCTTCGATACTTCAACAAGATTATACTTCGTCTTCCGATTGTCTGAAGATTCCAAATCATCACTTCCCGGTTGTCCAATACATATAATCAACATCCCGTATTCCGGAAGTTGCACTCCCAATTTCACGAATGAGAATTCTGGGATACTATCTCCAATCACATCATCACCAATTTCTACTGTCACAACTTTCAACACCGCCAAATCACGTTTTCGATCCCAAACACGACATTCGACTTCAATTGCAAGACCAGTATAATATAAAAGCCATTGTCGTGGTTTAGCTTTCCATTCTTCTTCCGTCTCGCCAATGCAATGAGAACATGTAATTATCCATCCTGCAGGATCAATACAAACTGCTGTCCCAGCTTCATATTGCGCAAAGATCAGAGTTGATGTTAATAAATTGCGAACGTGGATTCCGGATGGTAAATCTTTGAGTGTGGATAATGCGGTCGCTTTAAGTCGCGATTGTTTCTTGCGGAGAAGTGTGAGTTCGGTTTGGTTCAGACCTCGTAGGGTGGAAGATCGTGGTGTGAGTTGAATCTTTTCGTTTATTCTTGGAGTGGTATGCGAGGTTTTGATAGAAATGAATTTCACTGGTTGTTCCAAATTCGCGATCGGTTTGGATGGAAGTGGGCTTGTCGGGTTTGTATTCAGAACTGAGGATCTCAGTATGCGTTTGTTGTTGTCCATATTCCTGTTGGCGAATTGGATGCTTGACTACATTTGTTCAAGTATTCGATCTTAAAGTTTCAGTAAGTATCGATATCCAATGCCAGTAATGTATCAATACCATTAATACCAGTCCCCAACTTTTCAATATTGAATTGAATACTTCGTATCGTAATGTCGTGTCGTGTCAAAAAGCGCTTTTGCATCTAGATCTCGAATGGTCTAGATGTATGCAATGTTAGATATGAGTCTGGCCACGATCTTTTTCCAGGTAAGTTCCCAGGGGCGTTTTACAGACCTGGGTCTGGCCAAAGTCCGATATGCAACAAAATTGTTTTTGAATTTTGTGTTTGGATAGTCCTATTTGATATGAACGAAGTTAATGTTGTTAGAGTATCTCTAATCAGTTTCTGATCAGCAAGTGGTATAACTTGAGGATATTTCTTATACTTTCACTGGTTGCCTACATTTCGAAGTGAAGAATACGAATGGGAACGTGCACTGGATACAGTGTTTGTGCGAATCACGTGATATAGGTGATATTTTGGTGACAGTACTACGATCTTGGACGGATGATTTGATTGAATTCTGACAATCTCCAGGGTATGCTTAAACGCTCAACAAGGGTGATTGAGCTCCAGTTTGAAGTTGACCTACTAAAAAAGTTGTGTGACTTTGGATATTTTGTCCTAATCACGTGCACTCACAGAAAGCAAATATCTTCTCAATCTAGAACTCTGAACAAGAACGAGAGTTGTCAAATCACAAGTCTTCGGACCACAATTCCACTTTTCATCTGATCTTCAATAGCCTATGATCATGATGTTGCTGGTGATAGCAACATCTCAAGTCTGAATCTATGTCTAAGCCTTCCACCCCCCCCCGGCGCATTTCCATCTGAAAGTCCCGAGATTCTGTCTCCCGATTTGTTAGGATGCCGTGTGATTTCAGCAGGTTTTTCTAAATGTCCTGAAAGTTCTTTCTGTTCGTGTCTTGAGAGTCTGATACGTTTTGTATGTAAAATTCCACCTCACGCGACCAAAACCAAGACCAATACGGGTAGCCACAATAGTCCACGGTATCTGTGAAAAGCTGTCAACCTTATGCCACCACTAGCCGAGTCAGTTATACAATCAAACATTGACCGGTCCAATATATTGATCCGACAATAGATTCAATGAATATTTCTCACACAATCTGATTTGACCATTTATTCCAGAATGCTGGGTAGAACTCTGGGCAATACCATTATGGAAATGATTCAAATGCGGGGTGTTATGTGGTGGTATGTGATGTGGGCGTTCACAAATGTTGGATATCTATCTGAAAATGTTGATTTCTCTGCTGTCTCTCCCATTGTACATACCTACTCAGCCGGTCCATATGTAGAGCACCTCATGGTGTATCATATTATATCATATCCTCATACCTATATCCTACCTACCTACACACTTACATGCATGCATTTTAGAATTCACCCATCACTACCGTATCCTACCTTGATATCCCATCGGTATTAATCTATCTGGAGATTGTTGATAGTGAGGTTGTATTCCACATACCTCATATCTCGCACCCTGCTTTTCATTGCATATACAGCGTACTCGAAGCGAGGTTCCTGATATAACGCAGACAACAAGAATGAGGGGTGAATCGGGTCGATCAATATATATTTCTCGCAATCACCATGGTTTCAAGACAAGATAGACCGGCGATAGAACAAATTGAGAGCTGAAAATTCGTTCCTCGGTCACAAATTAGATTCATGTGAAAAGCCGATGATTGAAATTTGATAAAGTTTAAGGATGGTAGGGATGAAGATTTACTAAGGGTTTGCCTTAGTGTGTATGAGGGGAAGATCATTAATTTATGAATTCGGTAGATTTTCTTTTAGTCTTTTCGGAATGTGAATTTGAACGGAATATGATATCGATGCATGCGTAAGAGAAAATTCTAGTTCTAGTTCTAGTTCTGATTTCTACAAACTGCTGATAGGAGAGACAGATCACGATGAATACCTACACCCACTCGTAAACTCGTGTATTGGAAGAATTATTCGCACGGAAGTCAGTGCTAATCTGTACTATACTACTACATATATCCACTACACAATGTCAAATTTGTTCTTGAGTCCGAACAACAGTAGAGGCAACGGCCACGGCAGTTCAATTCATGAGCTTTGATGGTGTTGTTGTTCAATAAAAGATCAAGCTTCAGTAGTGGAGAAGCCGAGATACGGAGCACTATGATACCCCAATGTGGCGGGGATTGTGGATTTATGGATTTATGGATACTTATCTAACGGGGGGAAGAAATTTGATATTCCATTACCTTTGATTGGTTGAAATATATTTAATTAAGCTTAATTATCATTTAGGTATATCCACAATTTAACAATCTAAGACCTTTATTCGACGCAGAAGAAAATCATACGGGGAAGAGGGGAGGGGGGATATTTTCTTCAAATATTTCATTCCAACCTCTTCAATCTCTTCAACTCTTGATTCATGAACGACAATAATTCCCAAGAAATCAATTGGTTACCCAAGCAAATTACTCAAATTTCAATACCTAAGCCCCTAGTCAAATGTTGGACTCTACGCGAGTATACGATATTCATACCAACCAATACCAACCAATACCAACCAATACCACCTCATTATACCAACTTCAGAAATCTTAACGAAAGTTGATCGCTGTAACGACAAGGATATATTCCGGGGTAACATACACATTTGTTCAAACCAACATAACGAGCTTTGCCTAATACAAGAACATCGCCGTTCCGTCTATGATCCACCGAGGCTCAATACTTCAATACACCGAAAGGAAATTTAACGTGAGGTCTGACATCTGATTGTAATACACATATTCATACTACATGAATAGTAACGGAAGGCTGTGCATGGTTACATTGTTACATTTGGTGCGTGTTAGTCTCTCGGTAGAAGAGATGGAATGTTGTATGACAGTCACACAACTAACCATCAATGTCAAGGTGTGTCAATCTCCTTCTTAATTGGTATCTCAGACCGCATCTTTAATTACGCCAAAAAGCTTAACAAAGTTGTTCAGCTAAACAGGTGTGGATTTATGAGGAATTATCGTGGTAACGACGAGGTTCTCGTGGTACTGTTCGGTCATTGCGAAACGATGAGATCTCAAATAAGCCACTTAGATATCCCTTGGGTTTCATTATTTGCCATTCATTTTTTTTTTATAATTGAGTAAAATGTTCTCACATGCTTTACATATTTTCTTTCAAATCGGACATAATTCCTCATGGGGAATTCAAAAGTAGATCCAAGACTTTCACTCGTTACCCTTTCTAATCATATCTTACTTGCCCCCTAGTCAAGAGACCCCTCTCTCTGTACATATCTACAATAACTCCACATTAGATTGATTCCCTTCCTTTCTCCACTGTGGATTTTTTTCAAGAGATATAGAAGGATCGAAAGGTCGCCATTTTTCTTTGTTCGACTTTTTCCATTCTTCTGGTCATCGTCATCGTTATAGGGGAATCATATTTCTTTGTTTAATGGTTATGCGACGTCATCAGATGAGATTTATTGGATGAATATTTTACTATAAATTACCATATATCATCTCGTATTCCATATCTATCGATCAGCGGAAATAACTCCGAGTAATTGATCTTACAAGAAAAACGATATATTTGCGATCATTCCCAAAAACTAGTCATTGAACATCAAAATGGTAGGAGGATTAGATGATTCGGATCAAAAGGTGGAGAGAGCAGAGGTGGAGCAATATGAGACAAGTCCACCAGCAAAGAGATCACTTGGTGGAAAAGTAAAAAGACATTGTGCTCGATTTTGGTGGATTCATCTTATAATTTTCTGTGTAACATTTCTCATTATTGCATTATGTCTGTAAGTATTTCTCCAGATCTCCGATATCTTGATATCCGTACTAACAAGAATAGTGTTTATGTCGCTATGCCTAAGATTGCTCAAGATGGTGTTAATGATTCTTCTCTCGAAATCACTCAACTCAAATTCACAGATCCAACTCCAGATACCATTGTTCTCAGTCAAGTAGGAATTCTTCACAGTCCTTCAATGTACACACCTACTCTTGATCCATTCAACGCCTCCTCATACCTAGTCACAAATGGCCAATATGCTTCATCCCCAATGGTCATCATTCCTCTACCCAAAATCCACGCTCTCCACCCTAAATCTACCATCTCCGTTGAAAACCAAGAAGTATCCATCGTCAGCATCGACGCTCTCTCCGACTACACCACCGCCGTCCTCTCCAACGAATACGTCACCACCGCTCTCGTGGGGAAAACCAAACTCCACGAAGGCGCCCTCCCCGTCATCACAGTAAACTACAACCAAACATCCACATACAAAGGTCTCAACGGTCTCAAAGGTTTCAACGTCACCAACGTCCGCGTTAACCTGACTGCGCTCTCCGGCCCAAATCTTTCAGGCTACGCATACATTCCCAATCCGTCTGATATGACCATCGTCATGGGCGACGTCACTTTGGAACTTTCCACCGCCGCGGGAGTCGTAGGTAATTCCACCATAGCAAATATGACACTCGTACCGGGAAATAATACGCTCCCGATGACGGGAACGATGGATCAAACAAAGGTTCTCGGAAGCGCGGATCTGACGACGGGAATCGTGCAGTTGAGTATTGTGGGCAAAAGTGCGATTTACAATGGGGAACATTTGGTCTATTATGAGAGGGCGCTTGCGAGTAATAATTTGAGCTTGGCGTTGAATGTGGCGCAGGTTGTGAAGGATAGTGCTGGGGGGTTGATTTGAGGGTGGGGGAGTGAAGGAAGTGGCGGAGTGAAGGATGGGGGGCTGTGGGATTATGGAAATATATAATTAATTTCTCACCTGGCGTGAAAGAATAGTCGTGTTTGTGTTTTGGGTGATGGGTTTAGCTTCCTACGTTCCCGGTTCAATACTGCGAGAGTGGTAGATGAAGCATTGCGGGGCTGGAAGTCAGCCACCTTTGTTGCATAATTACTTGCATGATTGTTTGCTTGTTTGCCGCCGGGATTCCGGATTTGTACTTATGATACCTATCTAAAGACTTACAATATAGTTACAGTTACATTACGTTGATTGCGTATTTTTATTTTTCTCTTTCTTTTATGTTTTCATGGAAAGAGGAATAAGGGGAAGGCATTACTGTTTGATGGATGATGTACACGATGTATATAGGATCGTTAGAATATGCTTTGCAATGGCAATTCTTGAATCGTCTTTTTGTATTGTCGTAATGCTCTATTGGATTGGGTTTTGAGAGGTGTGAGGTGGGATTGGGGGACTGGGATTGAGGATGGTGGAGGGGAATTGTTGTTTCTTGGTGAGATGAGCTGATTTATCTCTCTCTCTCTCTGAGAGTTGCTCTTTTCCTTGAGGTTGCTGTTTCGCGTGGGGATGGGTATGAGGTATGTAGTGATTATCGTGTGCTACACATATAGCTAGCTGCTTATCTCCTACCTCATTTCCTCTCATCACTCCACTTTACATCGCATCGCGTTGCATTCGAGCGCATTCCATCCATCTATTTAATGAGTTTACAGACTTGCCTACTTAATCAATAAGAGTATTTGTGTGTATTTATGTATCTATGTATTTATTCACTTGTTACGATAGATAAATTATCGTAGGTTATGAGCACATAATAATCTAGATTTATGTAAAGATAAGACTAATAATATAGTCTAAGGGCTAGTTTGGATGTACAAATCCGGGCTGGATACGTTGAATAATCCGCTCTTTTCGAAAACGGATTTTGAATATATATTTGAATGTAAAAGAATTTAAAGTGGCGGATTTTGTATAGCCTTTTATAAATCAACGAATTATTTTGAGATCTTTCGTGCGGAGTAAATAGATCACATTACAGATTGACCAGATCGTCATGGACTATAAAATACCAAAATAGATACAACTACTATTCCCGACCTGTCAGGAAAATTCTGAAAATCAGTCTTTCGATAATTGAGGAATTCTTGGATGAAGAAACGTGATCCTCAAAATAGAATTCCGGGCCGCGATATAAAGACATTGAGATCATCCAAAGGATGGACGGTTTCACCCTCCAATGACTCTGCATCGATAATAGAAACTGCTTGTTGGCCACGCAATCTCTCTCCTTCGTCTATCGTGAGCCATTCTATGTTGAACAAAAGCTCCTTTGAGCCTCTTTCAGGTGTGGTCAGACTCGTTTCTATCGAGTATCCAATTTGAAGTTCTAGTGATCCGGCGTTATAGAGTGATGATGTGCTGTTTGATCTAATAGTCTTGGATAGCATTTGACCCCGAGCGAGTTCCCAGTCGTTGCCAAATACAACGTTTGACAGCAGTTCCTCCGTCGACAAAATTGAGGAGGCTAGCTGCGAAAGACTATTACTTGACGATTGAGCCTCTACCCCTTTCTTTGCATTGGCAAAGCTACTTTCTGCCGAAGATTCATTGCTAGTTGCATGATCAAATAGCTTAGGCGACGGCCTAGAATCTGAAATCATACTATCGCTCTCTTGAACCGTGTGATTATTCAGGAGAGGTTGAATCATCTCATTTTGATCTTGAATATCCGGTTCAGGCTGTGCTATACTGCGTATTGTCGACGTTGAATTAGGCAAGGTGAGGAGTGTACTCTCGTTTGGATCGGGGTAGACCGTCTTCTGTCGTCTTGAAATCAGCGTTGAAAGGCTGTTCCTAATATGATCTTCCAGTATCTGGTTGAACCTCGACTGCAGGTCAACACTCAAACACTCAGGCAAGCACCACCCAGGATACAATCTTCCATGATATCGCGGTGTATAAATCTTTCCATGCATGAGTATAAAAGCGTTACAGAGGAAGCAGGCGTCTTTGCTCGAGCATATCGCCCGAGGCAGCAGCTTAGATATGCGTGTTTCGAAGTGAAAGAGAAGTTGAATCTCAGCGTGAATCTTTCCTTCATTTGATGTTCTACGTGCCTGCTGGACAAAAGAACTACTGGCTTCAAATGTATCAGTCTTGAGCAAGCGACAGAAGTCCTCGAGTTGCCATGCTCGTCCATTTGGTGCATGAATCTGTGAAATTTTCAATGAGAGTCGAGAATCGTACTTGTCGAAAGTACTTTTGTGAAACGCCTCCCGGGGTAAATCGATTAGAACAGTCTTCATTTGTCGGACTAGCGTGAATCTTTTCGCCGTGCGATATAAAAATCGAGCAGCCTCTCGATACCTTGCGACTTTCCTGATGATGTTCAGGAGATTTTTTCTAGAGCTAGGGTCCATGACACGGTTCGATATAGTGTTAAAAACCGCCTGGACGTCTCCTACCTGCCGCAAATGATAGACTCCTTCTACCAACTCCCTTAACCGCGTAAGCGTCTGGTATTTCGTCCATGAGTCAATCAACCGCATCACTTCTCTCGCTTTCTCTACAAATCTACTAGCGACAGTAGAAGGTTCGGTATGCTCGAGATACCCGAGTGAGAGGACAGCCTCTTTTAGAACCGTCTTAAAAGGCTGCTTTGATGATTTCTTGCTGTTGGCAGCAAGACGTAGGCGGCATAGAATGCGGGCTGAACACATCGTAATAATCATAACAAAGACTCTGTCTTCAATACCTGCATTTCCATCTCAATCAAGTTAGCATTGAAAGATGAGCCCTGGGGCACTTACCATCTGATACTTGGGAGAGCCCTGAGAAGATTCTCTCAAAACCTTGCTTCAACTCTGCTTGGATTTGGCTGTTATCATTCTGCCGATCTTTGTTTATAGCAAGTAGTACATTTAAAGACATTGTTTCGTGATCCTCCTCTACACAAACCGCGGTAATATGGTTGGGATTATCGCTAATGCTTGAGAGAAATGCAAGCACACTAGTCAAGCTACGCTCTCTCTCAAACGATAAAGTATATCTTTTGTGACGAACCGAAAGGTTACTAATAGTGTTTAATGATGATGGAACAGGAACACGATGGAGGAGGGAGAGGAGAGCAATATTCTCAGCACAGGTAATTGCAGGAAGTGCCATTAGACAGGTTTCAATTAATACAGCCTAGACTGTACAATTCGAAAGGGTGTATAAAGATATCACAGCTGTAACGCATATAATGAGTCCCTTTCTGAATTTGTTTGACGGTATCAAGATCATTTCACTATTGGGGAATGAGGTTATATTTGTTGATGTGAAATGATGTGATGTTGTGTAACCAACATTTCGGAAACTTCCTATTCCATCGAATCGCATGCTTATACCAAGTGCAATCTTGTTCAACCACACCACCTCACTATGGATTATTTCGATTTAAACTCACAACGTTGGTATAGCGAACTTGCAGGCACATCCTATCTACATTATCCATCTTCTTAGAGCCTGCATCGATGATAGAATATTGTTGGCTGAAGAGATCATCCAAGAGATTTCAGTAGCCATTATTGAGAGAAATGAAAAGGGTAGGAACAAGGTGATAGATACAGTTATCTGTTCCTATCGCCGCAAGCGGAGCACCTGGAAATGGTCTAAGTTTTTGATGTTGTCTTCTGCTTCGTGAACAGGTCGTTGGAAACTACTGAATGTCGTGACCAGCTAGATGCGGGGAACCTAAAGGCTATTCGAGAACTTTGCACCCCGCTTTCAAGATTGGCAACTTGTTTCCCATAAATAGATATATGTGCACATGTTGAAAGCCCTTTAAAGATGGCTATGTGAGTTATGGATATGTTATTCATCTTAGAAATGATTCCCGGTTTCGGTACAGTTTGATAATGCTTACATCTAACGCAATATGTACTGCGAGCAACCAAGTCGAATTCTACATCGAAAACCCACGATCAGTAAATTTAACGAAATCTTGAATTTTTCATATACTCCCTTCAGAATTACGCATATAATCTTCACACAGATATTGAATCTACTCATCGGCGGAACTTACCGCTATAGTTGAGGAAGTTGGACATCGATAGTATTCATTCTCGGACAGGGACTTGTCTATCTTACACTGATAGCCTCCGCTCATTTGAGGATGTTTTTGGACACAAGAGTCCACAAGCAGGTAGCAGATCCATTTGCTATCAACATGTTACTTAATTTAGTTAGTAGCCGAAGCAGTAATTACAGGCGCCTTGCTCTAGCTAGTCCCATATATAGTATTGCAGCCTCCAGCATATCACTAGGAAAATCACTCCGAATAGTTACATATCAGCATAGATTACCTTACTATATAGAACTTTGCACTTCGCTCGATACTGTAGTGATTTCATTGCTTATTAGTTATAATCACCGGAATTGATTGTTTAATGACCTGCTTACAAGTTCTCAGTATATAATGTCATATCTCAGCATGTATTGGCTTTTATATAACATCAGTCATGCGAGACGTGGCGAGCTTTAGTAGTCCGAGTTTTAACTGCGGGGTAGGAGATCATCCCTCTTAAACAGCTTCCTTGCCTCCTCTTTTTCCTTCTCCACCTGACAACTTTCATCCTCCATGCACTAACTTCCACTCAAACCCCTTAACCATTTTTCGACGATATATATCATCTAGATTACTTCAAAAATCTGCGTTTCAAAAGACTGGGTATAACAATGGATATGTTTAAAGTAATCGTTGATTGCCTCTTGTGTTCGAATGACTATCACGAAAATGCGACATATTCTGCCATATCTGACAATAACCGGCTTGTACTCAGTACCAATGCAGCAGAGATACGGACTGCCGAACTGCTGCTTTCAGCGTTGCTTACTTCCGAGAAGTTAGGTAAAGACCTTGAGACTCGTCTTAAAGATATCGTCAAGGACAGCGGGTTAGTACATACCAACGGTCTCTGGTACGAAGGACTTGCGAGGATCCTGCTCAGACGATTTGAATCTTTAATCGAGGAGGGGCAAGGTGCAAATCTCACTGGTGCCGTCAAGGAGGCATTCGACAAAGCCAGGGTTACCGTCGACGACTTTGTTGACAACCATCCTATTCTCACATCTGTTATCATTACACTCCTTGTGCTTGGTCTTCTTATGTATGCTGCACCTTGGGCGGTTCATGCACTTGGGTTTACTTTAGATGGAACTCTTGAAGGTATGTTGTATACATTGATCGCTTGCTTAATCACATTCTGATACTTTATCGTCGCAGGCTCTTTTGCCGCTGGATGGCAATCTGCAATTGGTAATGTCGAGGCGGGGAGCTGGTTCGCTTTTTGGCAAAGACTGGGTATGACATGGGGGAAATAATGAGATATTGTAGTACTATATGATATGGAAGTGTTTGTTAGGATGTGGTGGTATGTACCAGACTTCAGGCGGGGGATCGACCGTGTTATAGCTAATAAAACGATGGTATTACAATAGTAAATATATAATGGAAATATCCCTGTATAGATAGACCTTCCCGGGTCTCCTGAAGACCCTGTTGTTCTATTCATGTGACTACGTTCCTTCTTGTTATACAATATATATTCGTTGTTGCTCTGTAGTACTTCTATCACGTTCTATTGTTGCCACTCAAATTCTAGTATCTTCTTGGAATTGAGAAAGCATGAATAATTGTGTATCTAGTAAATACAACGTGGTTGATCTCTTAATTCTTAGGTAGGAATTCCGTTCTGAGCTTCAACTGTTGGTTAGAGCGAAACTACCCCGCACTTCCCCTAGTTACAATGCAGTTTCACATATATAATCATTTGCTAACCCGGCGGCTGTTCAGAACTGTGGCTGACACAAAGCTAACCTGCACTACGTACGGCCAAGAGATGTGTTTTTGTGGTTGGTTTTTGAACTGCCGGAACTAGTTCATAATCATTTGTCGCAGACTATGCATGCGTTTATTCCAAGGAGTCGAATTCTTAATTTGACCTGTTGGTTGGAAGGCTTTGACTATTCATTCTTCACTGCAATACTCTCGTCAGTCTTTCAACAAATCTCGTCTCAAGATTTAATTCGAACCTCGTCTATCTAACACCGCATCTACCAAGCGGAAGTTCCGTCAGGATGGCACGGGATCAATTTTATATTTTTCATTTCTTCACAATGAGTCAATGTTTCCTTGACAGAATTCACTTTCATTATCTTTGGTTCTTCCATCCGAGAATCAGGCCGCTTATAATATTGTCGAGTTGCTTGCTCGCAACCAGTATGTGTGTTTCGAGCTGCATCCGAGCCCCATCAAAATCTGATGGAGCAAAATTCGAAGAATGGAAGCCTTCCATCATTTGCAGCTAAGACTATCATTTTGTATCTCGTCAAGTCAACACCATTGACTTCCTGCTTGCAAAGATCGAATTGCAATCTGAACCCTAAATGCTTGCCCCCATGTCTCTGATCATACCGCAGAAGAATCCAGCTTCACGCAATGATACCGAAGCTGCGTAAAAACACCGGCCACCTGTTTTCATTCTGAATTGTCGTCCCCCTCTGCTGGGTCGAAGATCTTTCTGGTTCCATCATCATGATATGGCATTCTTTGATTTGCCGTAATTCATGTTGTGATTCTTCGAGCTGCATTAGCCATTCTTGGAAGATTCTGAAATTTATTCGTTAGTCTAACTCTCATGTCATATGTATACATCCTGAAATTTATCAAGAATTATACACGGGATTGTGGAATCAGGGGAGGGGGGGAAGAATTTTTCGGTAGAATGGAGAATGTGCATAAATATGAACATACTGGATTTGAGATCGCTCAGTGGGCCATCGACGCTCACGCATAATCTCTAGTTGGTAGCTGACTTGTTGAATATTGGAGCGGTTATCAAAGAGGCAGAGTTCGAGGATGAAAAGTCGGTCCGGATAGGACAGATGGTTGAGTGTATCGGCAAGACGGTATTTTTGGTAATTATCCATTTTTTGGATTACGAAGAATTCGTTGCTAAAGTGGAAGTATTAAGAGGCTGTAAGAAGTTTTTGGTGAAGATAGAAGGATTAGGGGGCGGATTGTAATCGAGAGATATCTATTGTGATAGATTGTATGTTTCGTGTCGAGACGTGATGAGGACTTGAGGTATTTGGGTAAGGAACAAGGTAGGAATAAGGTTAGAACTTTTAGTGTCTGTTGCAGTCGAAGTCGAAGTCGAATATAGATAGATATAGATAGGATCTTGATCTAGGTAGAAGTTTTAATACAATACAGAGCCGTAGTAGTTATGGTTGTAGTGGTATTTTTTAGTTCACTGTACGACTGAAAGAACTAATGATGATCATATTAATGCCAGGAGTTTTTGAAACAAGAGGTAATAGATAAAAGACAACGAATAATGTATCAGTAGGTAATTGAAATAAAAAAAGAAGGACAAGTAGAAGTGGAAGAAAGACAAGATCACACAATATGTCTTAACTCGCTATCATTAGCTTGACAACAATACTATTCAAAACAAAAAAGTAAATATCCAGGCCTCTATGCGAAATCCCTCACATAGATAGCCATACTGAGACACTGTAGAAAGGATTCTATGGAATGAGTTCAGTAATAGCTCTTCGAGTATATTCACTGCATGTCAATATCGCTGTGTCTATATCTATTTTTGATACGTTCTATTACTTACAGTCTTTATACTCTTTACACCCTATTCTATTCCACAAACTCATATCAAATCAATACTCATCTAGCCAAATGACAAACACTAATAAACATTACGCTCACCCCCTCACAAAATCATACTCCTTCTACAGTGATCTTTTCTCAAGATCTACTACAGTAGTTTATGACCATCTACAGAAATTTGTATCAGGGTTACGTACGGTAGAGCAAGCTACAGCAATCTATGCATAAAAAGAACTCCTCTTCTCTCCTCTCCCAGAACCAACTCCTCTCAGGATACATCTATCCCCCTACTTTGCAATCTCTCCATAATATATATCTACCTATCGCGTACCTACCTAATAACCACACATCTTCATATATAAAATCTCGATATTTGAAAGTTCTCTGTTCTGTAGATAATATCAAATCGATATTATGATTTCCACAATAAACACTGAGATACTTTAATAAATGTAAGTCCCAGATTTTTCTCTTTTATTTCTTGAGGCTTTAGTTCTTGAATCGGATAATAAGAGTTATAAGTATAGTTATAAGTATAGTTATAAGTATGAATATAGATATAAATATAGAAGTAGATAATACTAATACTTTAAAACATATTCTAGAGTATATAAGGGCTCGTTCGGATCAACTTTTTTTTGACGTTAGACCTGATATATTGAGATATTAGATCTAATAATATATTTACTAAACGCAATATTAAGCTCAATAAATATTAGAGTATATTAGATTTAATATATAATTGACATATTTCGAAATGAATATAATATTCTGTTAAAGTAAATAATAGCAATGAATCAACTAGGTGTTATACAATATCAAGACTTTTCATTAATTCCTCTAAACTATAAAAATTCTATAACTTATAATTATATACGGGCTAATATTAGCCCGAGGTAGATCCACAGTATCTACTCACATACCTCGACTGGCCTTCTAAGACTTGACCGTGACAGTTTCTAGATTTTATCTGTTTTTCAATCTCTTCCCCCCCCATTTTTTTTTCTTCTTTCCCTTCTATATTAATTTCCTAATAGATTTCAATAAAAGAATAAAAAAGATCTTTCAAGTTTTTCAATTAGAATTTATTAAGGATTATTAATCTTTTTATCATATTTCTATTTTGAATCTTTTATTAAATTTAAATTTATTTATATATAGATTAGAAATAAGTTAGATTCTTATTTATGTAATATATTCTATATTTATAGTATAATAGTAAAGCTTATAATTAAAGAATAAATTGAAAGTAATATACTTTATGAAAGAGTTTATTCTTTTTAAACTTTTAGTTAATATTTTTTATTTTTTCTTTAGCTTTTATACTTACTTCTTTTCTCTTTTTAGCTTATATCTCTCTTATTAATCTTTTTTCTAGTTTTTATATTTGTACTTTCTTATTTATTTTGTTTTTAAATTTAATTTTCAAAAGTAATAGGGCTCTATAGAGCCCTTATTTTCTTATTAAAATTTAATAATAAATAGATTATAAAAAGAATCGATTTGATTTATTGGTAATAAAAAGCTTTATTCATTATTAACAAATATTTATATCAATATCGTAACATATGAAATAGAAATTTGTATGAGGGTTTATATTGAATTTCTCTTCATCTAGAATATTAACTTTGTCACCACAGGGATCGTATATCCTATTAACATCTTAGAACGAATGCTTTTCTCAATCCCTTCTTACCTTCCACCTACTCAATTACTCTTCAAATAGCTATATATACTAGTGTTCTAATAGTCATTGTAGTATTGTAATAAGCTTCTATAAAGCCATATATTCAAGTAATGCTCCCCAAAAATCTGTACAGTTGTACATAAGATCTAATTATGACTCTCGTTGATATAGAGTTGCCAAATGCACCCAGCTTAGGGCTCTTAGGACTTTTATTCCTGGTTGGTTATGCACTATACTTCACTATCTATGTGTTTTATACCCGTTTTTATCATTTGAGGCAGTTTCCTGGCCCATCTTCAGGAGTGTATAGTAGATTGTGGCTGCTGAAGGCTATGAGGTCGGAGCAAAGTACAGAATGGTTTCAGGAAGCAAACAATACATACGATAAGCACTGCCGCTATCGAGTTGATTTTAGAAAGAACAGACATCATTTAAAGTGGCATGTATCAGGATTAGCTTCTGACATTTAGTAATACGACAGGCTCAATCTCTAGGGTTGCACCCAACGTTCTTATAACGAGCGACCCAGATACCTGGCGAAAAGTCCTTGGGATTCGCTCGGATTGCGAATGAGGTTCATGGTTCGATTGTCTCAGGATTAATCCTTAGCGTACAAATTTGATCACCGAACGTGGTAGAAGCAAGCACAATGCGCTACGATACCAGATGGCAAGTGGTGTAAGGAACCTCCTGCCAGAATGTTATTGTGAAACAACTGATTAGACCTTGAGTAGTATGGTGACAAGGACATTGTGTGATTGGAAGCTACCATAGACAACAATATGAGAGTGTGGGTCGGATACATAGAACACAACTCCATATCGACCTCCCAAGCCATGAAGCCATTTGATAATGCGCGAAGCATCCAATGGCTCGACTTTGATCTCATCTGCCAGCTATGCTTCGAGCATGGGCTTGGCTTTATCTCGAACCACAGCGACCGCTACGACTTTCAAAAAACCCTCGATGAGAGACTTTCAATAGTGGAACAGATTGGGGTTCTGGCAGAATTTGGTAGCATTCTCAGATTCATCTCCAGAGTTACTTTCCTCAATCAAGTGTTACCATCAGCGAAAGACAAATCTGGCGTTGGAAAGATTCTGGGGGTAAGTCACACTTATTTAAATTCTTGTCTTTGCGATCAGGATTCCCACTAAAAACACAAAGCTTGCTCAGACTAATGCTTGTTACATGCCCCGCAAAGACTTACTAGCAGCCTGGCTAGATCGAGGAATGGGTAGTTCTCAAGCCGAGACCAAAATGGTCATAGCACTGTAAATCATATGCCAGTCAGTGTTCTTACTAGTATTGCTTGTATTTCGTATATTGGTCCGTATGATGGTGCGTATTAATATTTCCGAAAATATTTATATAGGCGATATCGATTTATATATTAATAAAGATATTCAATATTGAAGTAATATTGAATATCACTAAGAAGATATAATCCCTTTTTATATAACGTGATTCATCACCGAGTGAATTATATCACCGAGTGGATCACTTCATTTTACATACAAAATTCGTTTGTATATAATCGTATACTTTCTTTCTTTATTAATATAATTCATTTTTTTCTTCTAAATATTATAATTATCTATATAAATAATATAAATTTCTAATCAATTATTAGAAATTAAATTTAATACAATAATTATTAAAAAAATAGTGTTTTTATAGCGAAAACCGTGACAATTTCAATTGTTTTTAGAATATAATCAAGATATTTATAATTTTTGATTATATAAATTTTTCTTATTTTTAAATATTGTTTCTTTTTCAAAAAATATTGATTAATTATTAAAATATAAATATTAAAAAAAGGTTAATTTTGGTATGATTTTGAAGTGATCCATTCGGTGATATGATCCACTCGGTGATGAATCATGTTATATAAGATATAATCCCTTTATTTATATATATATACGATATTATATTAAAGGCTTGATACATGCCACTGTTATACTACTATATACTAGTACAAAGACTGATGTCAATCGCTTATGATAAGGGTTGCTAACAATTCTCAGTTTCGCAGAATCCGACACAACTGCCACAGCTATCAGAGGCGTCCTTCTTTACATCATCACATCACCACCAGTGTACACACGTCTAATCTCAGAAGTTTGTGCTGCGTAGAAAAATCAATCTCAATCGGAACTTGCATCATATGCAACATCCAGGTACCTTCCATATCTTCATGCTTGCATTGAAGAAGGCTTAAGACTCTTCCCACCAGTCGCCGCACTTCATCAGCGTGTAACTCCACCGTAGGGCGACATTCTTGGAGGAAACCATGTTCCAGGCGGAGTTGTTATCAGAGTGAATATAAGGGGGCTATTCAGACACGAAGCATTCTTTGGGACTGACGCAGATATATTTAGACCGGAGCGGTGTTTAGAGACCACACAACCACAGCTTCGACAAATGAAATGAGGGCATGAGCCATTTTTCAACATGGGCACCACGCGCTGTTTGGGTATAAATTTGGCAATGAAGATGATGCACAAGTTCTTTGCTGAGGTTTTCCGGCGGTGGAATATTGTAATCGTGAATATGACCCGCCCTTGGGATAGCAGGTGTCATGGCGTGTTTCAGCAAGAAGACTTCTTTGTTCGCATCACATCTCGGTCAATTCAAATCTATGATAAGCCAACTTAACATCTGGTCAGCTAAGCTTGTGTCTTGAGCGATAAGGAGAATAGCAAACTTCGCGGCACATTCTAAGGTTGTGGCCACATTGATTGAAGAATGCGCGAGATTGGAAGCCTCTAGTCGAAAAATCCTACGTATAAGAGTTAAATGCAAGCTTCTAATATAATCAGATACCTTGTGCATCCTTTTTCAGAGCTATGATTTTCCTCTTTACTTCGATGAAACGCACAAGCTTAAAACGAGCTGGATATTTTGTTGAGAGAACATTGTTCCATGCCTGAGCCGGAAGGAACCAGGTACGCTGGGCTTTGGCACAAAGGATCTCCAAGTTGAAAGAAGAGCTACGGTACACATGTCAAAACTCGGGACAGATCCATTATGCTACTCAAAGTCAAGATAAGCTCTTTTCTAAATTAAAAATACAAAATCAAATAGCCAACAGGGTCTACCTGTCCTATTTACCAACACTCTCTAACGTACTATCTTGAAACCACCTGGGACAATAGTCTGGAAAAAGCCCTCGGGATCATACTTCTTGCTCACTGCTTGCAAACTACTCTTCATTTCATCGCCATATCCACTGATCGGATCCTGATAGCCCGCTGAGTAATTAACATACTTATAGCGATTGAACAACCCTGCACTCTTACTGGACTCGTCAACTTCCTCGATAAATCTTCTAGCCGTTCTATCCATACATTCATCGTCAGATTTATCTTCCCACGAGTAGGTCAATATGCACAGAACAAGGGAAACCTGCGAAGTATCAAGGCCTATTGAGTTGCCTCCAGATGCCTTCGATTTGGCAGTAATTGAGTCGTGGAGACGCCAGTATGTCAGCGTCCAACGCATACCTTTGATATCCTCCACAGAGGTAGCCGCACTTTTGAAGAGAGTGTACACGTTCTGTAAGTGAGCAAGAGAAAATTGGAAGGATGTAGTAGCAAAGATCTGACGAATTCCCTTGGCTTGCATTTTCTGGATGTCTCTGGCAGTTTCGCCCAGGGTCGAGATCTTCATTGTATTTCTGTATTGAGGCTTGATATCCATGAAAGGTTTGAATACAGCTGGTTCGCTGTCTTCTTTGGTGTATTCGAAGTTTGATGCAATAGTGAATTTCGTTTGAGGTGAAAATGTGATACTCAGTTTCATCGAAGCATATGGGTCCCAATCGTTTTGCATACTATTGAGTGCCCTGAAGTTCTCATCTAAGGTGGAAATTGGATATACGACTAGTCCAGCCCATTGTTTACCTTGTGGAAAAGTTCTCATGTCGAATCGGGTTACAATCCCAAAGTTATTGCTTCCTCCCTTGAGTGCAGTCCAGAGGTCCGAATTTTCATTGGCATTGGCATTGATGACTTGACTATCTGCAAGAACCACCTCGAAGTTTTCAACCATATCGCAGCACATGCCGTACCTTGGCGAAAAAGAAGAGAAACCTCCTGCGATTTGTGTTAGTACACAAGCATTTTATAGTAAGACAAAAGGCACGACGATCCGTACCTCCAAGAGTAAATCCTCCAACTCCTACATCATATACATGGCCCCCAACCACAGACAGCCCCAAAGCATCAAGCTTGTCATATACTTGACCCCAGATAGCACCTCCTCCGACTGAGACAATGTCTTCACTTTCGTTTACCTCAACGGTGTCAATCTTCCGCAGGTCAATTGTAATACCATTGTCAATATTAGCGCTGCCTACAAACGGGCTGTGACCGCCCCCTCTAACAGCCAATTTTGTAGCAGTATCAGTCGCAGAATTTATGGTTCTCAAAGACTTTAGAACTTGGGCGACATCTTGAGCAGATTTAGGGGCGACGATGAAAGATGGTCTCAGCTGTGCCTCCTGGAGAGTAAAATAAGATTTCAAAGAAGCGTCATAACCATCACTATCAAGCTCAAAGACTTCTCCTTCGAGACCTTGTGCAATTGTGGAAAGAATTGAAGACATAGCTTTGGTTGCGATTTGTGATTGCGTAATGAGGAGAATACAATTTGTGGTGAAGAGTTTTGAGGAAATTTGGGCGCTAGATTTTGAACGCTCAATATTTTTCTAGGGTAATTTGAATCAAAATATCTTGAAGAGTTTATAATTGGATGTGCATCATGACTCGAAGTGGATAAGAAGAGACTAATCTCCTTCTAAATCAATAGTAACGATATACAGTTCTACTTCTAGGGAATGAAAACGCTTTGGGTTGATCACCTTATTAGTCAAGCGATCAATCAAATAGACGTTGCATCGAATTGTGGATATAAGAAGTGGAGAAATAAAGTAAGACCAAATGTTAGTAAAGCTCTCTCAGGAGGGAAAGCCCGAGGCACCAAACTCGCAGTACCCCTCGTTTGGAAATCTATCTATCCCAGAATCAAATAGCAATTTGGAACACATTTTTAATTGAATAAAATTGAAACCAAGTCCCGATTCTGTAAAAAAATCAATACAGTTAACTAAGTACATAGTTAGACAGAATGATTTGATATAGAATTTTAGAAAGAAGCGAATTGTCAATTTCGCGAACTACTCTTAATTTTTCTCAATCACCTTTGCTTACAAAAGTTCATTCTACGCCTGCAGAAATGTATGACTGCATAAAAATTCGTTTTCAAGGTAAATGATCCCCGTTGAAGAGCGAGATGAGGTTTGATATCGATCCTATCTTAAACGTCTGATACAACCGCTCGATTAATTTCCACCACTCATGCAGCTCCGTCTTCGCATCAACATCTCCGTCTCACCTGCCTCAATCCAACTTCTAGTGTAGATGTAAAGTGAGAACTTGCAAATCCTATTTTACAGTAACCGTACACAGCTATTTGCCGAAACGCGAAAAACGCATTAATTCAGCTTATTCTTTTTTATTACAATTAATTAATTGATTTAATTAATTATGTTATCACAACATATTCTTTTGAGTTAAATCAATTATAATAATCTACCTTATATCTATCTTAATCTACATATATATAGAAAAATAAATAAGAAAGATAAAAGCAGATATACAATCTATTTGTCGGGACAGGGATCATGTGACCGCACTAGCGCTTGCGCTAGTGCCTCGGCACTATAGCATATACGTTTCGTAGCCCTAGCTTTTAGAACCTCAAGCAATATTACAACAGTATGAACCATAGTACTATATTGATTTCACCATCCCCATGGTGATACTAATTGTGTGAACAAGAGTATTCACTTCAAAGGAATGACTTCAATATAATGGCTACTATATCAAAGGGATTAAGCGAATGCGAAAGAGACTAGCTCTTTCAGTAGTGCCTATATAAGGCCTACTACTTTCCTACATAGCTAGCTCTTTAGATAGAATACAATTAGACATACAGGACCTACAATACGTGGGTACTACGTCTTCCGTATCCTTCTCGAACTAATACTAATACTATTATTATTTGTTACGCTAAAAGTGACGCCACCAATAGCCTTAGGCTAATTGGGTTTATATAGGCTTAATTCTCTCGTGACATTATTATAAAGGAGCTCAAAATCCCTTTAATTAGTATTTCTTATATTATTAAAATAAACATAATATAAAATTTCAAAGGAATTAATTAATTCTCCGAATTATATATTCAGAGTTTATATACTAACTAATTAAATCGAGATATATAGAATAGAATCTATAATAAATTATACTTCTATCTTTTTATATAATCCGACTTTTGAACTATCTATAAGTATTATAAATCAATAGATTGAAATAGTGACTATCTAACTTTAACTCGAAAATTCTAATTATACTTATTTATAGTAGAATGCGGAAAAACAAATAATAATGTTATTATGATTTATAAGATAATGGAAACAAAAACAAGGAATAAGAAAGGATATATAATGTTACGGGAGCTGCCTCTAGGGTTATGTGGAAATGTCTAGAGATCTCTCAAGGTGGTTTAGACTAAACTTCAAGTAGAAATTCAATAAGATTATAACTAATTACAATTCTTATAATTATAATAATAAAACTAATAATTGTTTTTGAGTACAAAGTTTTATATTATAATGAAATCTATTTTTTATATAGATCTTTGTATTGAAATTAATTAATAAATTGATTAGCAAATCAATTAATAAGTTAATCAGCTTTTAATCATATAATATTTATCCTATGATTCCTATTATCCTAATTTGTTCTTTTGTTTTGAAGCTAATTCCCTGGGATATTATTAATTCTAATAAAGTCTTTCTTATTTACTATATTCTATTTTTTCTAGGATTTATTATTCTAGAAACTATATTCTATAATTTAGAGTATTCTATAACTAATATTATATATATACCTAAGGTTTTCTTAAATATCTAATATTCCCTAATATACTACAATTAAATCATTAAGGCTTATAATACTATTATAGTCTATACATTAGTAATTCTATAGCCTGTTACTAATCCGTTGTAACATATAATTTGCTCTCTCTATTTTGCTTCTTTTATTACCTGTTATTTATTACTTACTATTCCTTCTTTTTGTCTTATTTATTATAACGTAACTTGACTAGAAGTGGGTTATATTATAATATGAGTCAAAATCACTTCTTTATTTCTTTATTTTATATATTTATTCAATATATAATAAATCAAAAGTTATCAAATCATAATAAATTAAAAGATAATATTCAAAAGGCTATAGAAAGTCTAAAAAATAAACAGTTTACTTCAATTCGAAATACTATTATTCATTTTAAGATTCTAAAATCAACCCTAATAAATCGAATAACTGAATAATAATTATACTTTCAATCTTATAAATCCTTTTAAAAACTTTTTAATATAAAAAAGAAAATTTTAGTATAATAGATTTTATAATTAATAATTATTAAATACTCTATATCTTTTGGATTATTAAAAGAAATGATTTAAGAAATTCTAAATTAATATATTATTTTTGTATTATTATTTACCCCTTTATTTTTTTAATTAAATTATATAGATTAATAATAGATTTATAAATTCTTAAATTAATATTCTAAACTTAAGGGAATCTATTCTTATAAATTGAAATCTGTAAGGTA